TTACATACGGTGAGGGCATCCAACCCTGTGAACAAAGGCTGGTCTTCTTGCGGTGAGTGTCCAGGCTCCACAGGGAAGTCACTTAAGCTTGAGCCCACGTATCTCTGGTGCCAAAGCCTGGCTCTTCCCTCCACCCCTTACTTCCTCCTTTTTTCTGGGTCTCAGCTTCCCAATCTATAAAATGGGAATGAAGGCCGCCACAGACTTCCTCCCTGGCAGCCCCATGACCCCACCCTTGGCAGCTGCAGCACCTCACCTAGGACTCAGGAGGAGCACAGTCCCAGTGAGGAAAAGCCCCGAAAGCCTTGTTCAGGAACCTCCGCCCTGGATAGGGGCCAGGAAGTGAACAGGAAAGAGAAAGTCCAAGCAGCTGCCAGCCCCACACCACAGGCCAAGCCCTGCCAGAGCATCTCCTGTTGGGCAGGAGCCACGGCCTCAAGCCCAGCATGTCCTCGGCTCATTGGAGGCTCTGGCAAGTGGAAGTGGGCTCCCACTGGGGCCGCACCAAGCTAGGTCTGTCCCAGCACTGCCACCAGGAGCTCCAGCAGCAAACACAAGAACAACAGTAGCTACCACTGGCTCAATGCTCACGATGTGCTGGAGACTGTTCTAGGCGCTTATCACTGAATCCTCCTGATAGCTCTCTAATCTAGGTATTGTTTGGGGCAAGGAAATTAAGGCACACACAGGTTAAGGAACCTATCAGGGCCACTTGGCCAGTAGGAAGACAGAATCTGAGCTCTGCCAGTCTGGTCCAGAGCCCTGCTGTTAACCACTTCATCTACACTTGGCACAGAGGCTGACTTTGAGTCAGCCCCTCCTCCCCCCTGGCCTTCAGTTTCTTCATCTGTAAAATGGCCTCAAAACCCTCCCACACAGGAAACTGTGAGAATCAAGTGAGAGTGTGTAATAAAGCATGGTGCCTGGCATGCGCCCTACTACTAGGCAAGGCTCCCTCCCCTACCTGCATGAATGGTGGGGGTCTCTGAGGCCCTGGGCCCCAGTGGGTCTGGCCTGGTTGCTGGCCACATACTCCTAAAGGGTGCCTCTTGAGACCATTTTCCAAGTCCCTTCAGCCTGTCTCCCCCATGGTGGGCAAGCTGACCCAGGTAGGGTCGAGCTTCCTGGCAGGCGGGCAGCCCGGAGGCCCTGGCATAATGGAGGAGGTGGTGGGCTGACACTGGACCCTCTGCCCACAGCTCAGCCACACTGCCCATCACCTTCAAGTGCCTGCTGGAGAACAACCACATTGACCGGCGCATTGCCCGTTTTGTGCTGCCCGTGGGCGCCACCATCAACATGGATGGCACCGCACTCTACGAGGCTGTGGCTGCCATCTTCATTGCCCAGGTCAACAACTATGAGCTGGACCTCGGCCAGATCGTCACCATCAGGTGCATGCCAGACACCCCAGATGCGGTGTGGATGGGCTGGAGGCAGGGGCAGTACTGGGAGGGCCTTCAGGATTTTTGAACTCCCAGAGCTAATGGGGCCTCTGGGGCCCAGAGAGGGCAAGGGCCCATCGTGAGCCACACTGTGTGTGCTCGGGCCCCCACATGGCCTGGCCTCTGACTCGGGGCACAGAGCTCCTTCCCAGAGCTGCCCTGCAGAGTGGGAGCTCCCCAGGCGGAGAGGCCTGGTCCACAGGAGGGCCTGTAGTCTGCACGCACAGGGTGAGCAGAGGCACGGGCAGGACTGAGGGACAGTGGAGAGCCACTGGTGTGGCTGGAGCTGAAGGAAGCCTGCTGGGGTGAGAGGCAGAGGCTGGGGAGGCTGCTTCACATGCCAGCCCGAGGGCACAAGTCTGACCCTGGGAACCAGGCCCCAGAGGGAGGCTGAACGGAGTCGTGTGGGTGGACGATTAAAATCTTGGGGCAGCTTCTTGGAAATCTATAGCAGCCGTGGCTCCAGACACTCGGTTTTCCACAAACTCCTCGGGAGCTTCTGCTGCGGCCAGGGATGGGGGCCCACGGGGCTGTGGGACCTGGAACGGGGACCCCCGAGAACTCCTGACGAGCCCTGCCCCATATGGTTGTCCCCAGAGGCCCTGGCGCCCTGCCCTGACAGTGAGCCCTGCCCCTCTGCCCCTCCTCTCGCCCTCCCTGCCCCTCCTGCAGCATCACAGCCACGGCAGCCAGCATCGGGGCAGCCGGCATCCCTCAGGCAGGACTCGCCACCATGGTCATTGTGCTCACCTCCGTGGGGCTTCCCACCGATGACATAACCCTCATCATCGCCGTCGACTGGGCTCTGTGAGTGGAGTTCGTCCTCACCACCCCCACCCCCTGGGCAGCAGGCACTCAGGGTAGACCAGGGAACTGCTGCGGGCTCCTTACTCATCAACACTGGCCTGGCTGAATAATTCCTGGGGCCCCCTTTACAAAAATTAAAATGAGGGATTCCTTGTTCAAAAATCATAAAAGAATTTCAAGAGGATGAGAGCAGAGCATCAGACTGAGTCCAGGCCCTTCTCGGCACAGGCACAGTCACATGGCCATGAGGCTGGTTGGCACCAGCCTGCCTCAGCATTGCTGGGGGTCTCAGGGCTCCCGAGGATCTGGGAGCACCTCTCTGTGGGTCCTGCCCTGGGAGAAGGGACCCACGGGGGCCGCTGGGGTAGGTGCCACCCTCCTCCAGCTCCCCTCATGCAAGTGCCCACCTTGGCTCCCCAGGGACCGTTTCCGCACCATGATCAACGTGCTGGGTGATGCGCTGGCTGCAGGGATCATGGCCCACATCTGCCGGAAAGACTTTGCTCAGGACATGGGCACCGGCACTGAGGTGAGAGCAGAGCCTCCCTCCCAGCCTGGCTGCCCAAAGCCTCTGGAAGGTAGAGCCAGGGTGGGGTGGGCAAGGCACCAGGTCTCCCCACTCCATCTGGGCAGCCTTTGGCCGGTCCTGTTGTGCCTCTGCACCTTGGTCTCCTCATCTGGTATGGGGGTGATTAATTCCCCTGACAGCTGGTTGTTGAGCACCTGCCATGGCCAGCAGTGACCCAGACACAGGAGGAACAGTAGTGAACAAAGTAAGATAAACCCTTGCCCTCAGGGAGCTTGTACCCTGGCATAGTGGTGGTGCTGGTCCTGCTGACAGTGCGAACACGGGTGCATCTGCTCAGGGCATGTCTGCAGGGCTCCTTCGGTAACTGCATGTGGCAGGCTGCCCCACTCCATGGAGGACACTGAGGCCCAGGCAGGGGAAGCACCAGTTCCCTCACTGGACCCTGTGGATCAGGTCCCCTCCTCTGCTAAGACAGCCCCAGGAATAGACAGGACAGCTTGGAACTGAAGCCCAGAGAGACGCTGTGACCTGTCCAGGTCCCACAGCACACTCACAGGAGTCAGCCACGTGTGTCCCTACCCTTGGCCCCTTCAGTCTTCCCTGGTCTTCCTCGCTCTTCCTCAGTCTCTCCTGCAGCTACCATGCCCGTTTTCCTCCCCAGAAACTACTGCCCTGTGAGACCAAGCCAGTGAGCCTCCAGGAGATCATGGCGACCCAGCAGAATGGCTGTGTGAAGAGTGTGGCTGAGGCCTCGGAGCTGACCCTGGGCCCCACCTGTCCCCACCATGTCCCCGTCCAGGTGGAACAGGATGAGGAGCCAGCTGCCCCCAGTCTGGACCACTGCACCATTGAGATCAGCGAGCTTGAGACCAATGTCTGAGCCTGTGGAGCTGCAGGGACCAGGGAGGCCTCCAGGGCAAGGGGCCAAGGGCAGGTGTCAACTCACCACTTTCCTTAGCAGCTGACAGGGCTGGGCTTGCACATTCTTCCCACACTTGAGAGGCTGAAATTAGCCCCACTTGATGGAAAATAGAGGCTCAGAGAGGATAAAGACTGCATGTGGGAGTCCCGGCTAGAAAGCAATGGGCCAGCACAGCCCAAGCCCCAGCTGGGACATGCCCACCACATTGGCCTGTGAGGGCGGCAGGCAGGGGTTATGGCCCCCACTTCCTGGATCTCACAGCTGAGGCTCTTCAAGCTGAAAACACTTGCCCCAGGTCTTAGAGCAAGTAACGTCAGGGTCAGGGCCCTAACTCAAGTCTTCCAAGACCTGGCCTCTCCCTCCCGGAAGGCCCGATGCCAAGAGGCTCTGCTCCTCCCCAGGAGCCCTTCAGCCACACTGCCATCAGTTTATGAAGACACAACAGCATCCTGGCTCTGCCCTGGCTGCGTCTCGGCCCAGGCCAGCCCTCGCTTTGCTGCTAACACGTGGCCTCAGACAAACAGCTCTCCTGGAGGACCGGCCAAGCCCAAGACCAGGGCCACTACCTTCCACGTGCCACAGCCTGTCCCATTTCCCATCCCACCCATTACTTCTCACAAAGTTCATCCAATGCGGAGACAGAGCTGTCTTCACTAGACTGTGGGGACCCTTGAAACATCCGGGTGAGCCTCCCCAGGACAGGTGGGCCCACTGGGAGCAGGGAGGTAGGCTTGCCTGGGATGCTTCAGTCAAGCCGCCTGTGTAGCCCTGGGGTCAGTGCTCCCCAAAATCCTGTGGGATACAGCAGAGTTAGATCTTCTATTCCTTCCTGTGTTTGTAAATTCAGTGATAACTAAATAAAGGTATTTTGTTTTTCAAGTCTTGTGGGCTTAGCGACCATACTCCAGCCAGCATCTGTTTTTTGGGCTAGCATAGGCTGTCAGCACAGGCTGGCCCATCTGAGCAGTCAGAGTATGCACAGGCCTGCCAGGCAGCCAGAGGTAAACAGGCTTGTCTAGGTAGCTAGTGTACACAGGTCTGTCTGGGCTATCGGAGTGGGCACAGGCCTGCCAGGGCAGCCAGCAGGCACGTGAGCCTGTCCCAGGGGCCAGAATGAGGGCAGGCCTCTGACCCCCACAGCCCTGGACTTCTGCCTGTACGATTACTTTGTGGGCACCCAGAAATTTTACACTGACTCCTGCTGATCCAGCCGGGTGTGGAGGTGCTCATACCCTGCCCACCCCCACCAGGTACCAGCCCAGCACCTGCAGGAAACACACACAAACACAGCCACAAATTGCCAGAAAGGGGTAATGCTTTTATATTAGTTTTTCTGTAACAAGAAAAATCAGCTTTGTTCAAGGTTTTTGTAATACTTTCTTCTTAAAAAAGAATGAAAAACCGAATGCACCCAGAGCTGCCTGCAAGCCCAAAGAATAAAGAAGTCCTGTCATGGGGCAGCGGCCCTTCCTCCCTGCTGGACCCAGCCCTGCTGCCCCCACCTCACTCCTGCGCACGACCCCAGCAATGGCGGACTGGCCCCCTTGCCCTCAGGGGGGCTTGGCCATCAGACATGCCTGTGGCTGGCCAGACCATGGCAGGGAGAGGCTGCCCCAGCAGCTGGGGAACAGGCTGGCTGGCTGAGGCACTGGTTCCAAAAGCTCCTATCCCCAAAGGGAGGGAAAGAACAAAGCCAGCTTCCATGAGTTCCAGAGCGTGGCAGGCACCCGGGCACAGAGAGCATGGTGGAAACTGTGTCTTCTCCAGTGGATGGACAGACAGATGGACACGCAGAAGGTGAGCTGTCCTGGCCGATTCTGGCTGGGGGAAGAGCTGTCAGTGCAGGCCTCAGAAGACTGTTTGCATGTGACTTATGTGTGTGTGTGTGTGTGTGTGTGTGTACATGCGTGTCCATGGGAGAGGGGGTGGGCACCAGTGAGTGCCAGGGTGGGGCCAGACCCTTCCCTGAGTGTGCATGAGTTAGAGGGCATGATGGTAGTGGTGGGTGTGGGGCAGAGAGTGGGACCCGTTTGGAAGGTGACATGCAGCTGTTTGCGGGTGTGTTGTGGTGTCTGTGCCTGTCTGGTTGTGGGATGAATGGCCGGGAGGGGTGGGGATGGGAGACTGTGTATTTAGTCTGTGTGCTGGGGGTTGAGGGGTCTGGTGGGCACGGGGCTGGGTGTGCCTGTGTGTGTGGGAGAGTCAAGGCTCACAGGGCACAGGCATGCACTGCAGAAAGGGGTCCAGTAGTCCATCATCCTGCAGAACACATGGGAGAGTCAGGGAGGCCAGGGCAGACTTACCAGCCTGTGGGGGGTGGTATTGGGGAGCTGGGCGGCCACCCAAGGGGACTCTGGGAGGGCCAGACAACCGCAGGCAGGAGAGGCTACCCCTGGGAGCCCAGAGCCAGTGGGCCACCCACCGAGAGGTGCTTGTGAGGCCTGACCAGGCCTGAAGTGGATCAGAGGGCTTCTGGGCCCTCTGGCCACTTCCTGGGCCCTCTGCCAGGGCCCCACTCACCAGACCTGACCATGGCCAATGTCCTCCAGAGAAGGCAAATTCTCTCCCTTCCAGGGCTCCATAGCCCCCCTTGTGAGGGCCACTGCGTCCTCACAGAATGACCAGTCACCCCTGTCACCGGGGTGGCTCTGCCAGAGGATGATGCCTGGAGAGCAGGGGCTCTGCCTTCATACCCCTGGGCCCTGGGCCCTGGGCCCTGGGCCCTGGGCGGAGAGCAAAGTGGCTTCCAAGCCCTGCCCTAGGGCCTGGCCCCCACACTGGGATAACTGCCCCCAAGCATACTGTTCTGTCACCAGCTGGACCCTTTGGTCACCCACCCATGGGGTCTTCCCCCTCCCTGGGCCTCCTCTCTGACCCGGGCCCTACTTCAACTCAGCATCCCGGCAGCAGCCCAGCAGCCCAGCCTCGCTCACTCCGACACCACGCCTGCCCTCCTGCTTCCTCACCGCCACCACGTCCACCCTAGCATCTCCAGTGGCTCTGCCCATCGCCCTCTCCTGCTGCACCCCCCTTTCCCAGCCTGACCCCAGGATCCACAACCACAGCCATTCCTTTGTCAATAAGCTCAGTCTCCATGTTCCTTCCCCTCCTGTCCCACACACCTGGCCAAAACCCCAGCCATGGACGGGTCCCATTGTCCCTCTCCTTCACACCCACCCTGGCCTGCTGAGCACTTCCTGCTGCTCAGAGAAAACAGGAGCTGAAGGCACCTGGCTGGTGTGACTACATGGCCAGCCACCGAGTCATTAACATGCACGTGACTGCAGCCCCTCAGTCCTCTGCCCCTCCTGCCACCGTGAAAGGAGCACTGCCTCTCCTGCCAAAGCAAGTCCCTCGGCTGTTCCCATGGGGATGGGAACAGCGGGGTTCTCCTCTCCTCCATCTCTGACTCCTCCTCTGCACGGGCCCCTCCCAGCAGCATTCAAACCAGCTCTATTCCTTCAAAAAGGCATAAGGTAAACAGAGTCCTGCCCGAACCTCATGCCCCTTTCCCACTATCACTCTGTATCATCTCTTCTCTGCCAAACTTCTTGACAGAGTCGTCTACACTCCCTGGATCCACTCCTTTCCAGCTGCGATGACAGCAGCAGCCTCTGCCGGGGCCCCACGTCCTTTCCCTGCTTCCACACCCCAGCCCCTGTGCCCGCCCCACCGGGGCATCTTCACCCGGGTAGAGCCCAGCATGTGCTGGCCGCCTGCAGGCTCGCTGTTATTCCCCACTTCTGCCCAGGGCCTGGCGCTTACCGAGTGCTCGTGGAATTGAAGCAGGGGACAGATGGTGAAGAGGGGGCAGAAAGACCCCGGACTGGGGTCGGGACAAGAAACTGCGAAGGAGCAGTTCGTGCGTCCCCACAGACCACCTACCTACGTCACATCCGGTTCACCCTGACACTATCGCCTTTTCTCTTCCTCCTCGTCCTCATCCTCCTCGTTCTCCTCATCCTCTTCTTCTTCCTCCTCCAACCGGCCCCGGTCCTTGGAAACGTCACCGAACTCAAAGTTGCCTTCTATGTCCAAGACCTGCAGGTGCTTCAGTCTCCGGAAGGCGCTTTCCACCACAGAGCCCACAGCCAGCTTGTTAAACCTGAGCAGGCCACCGTGTGGCTCAGTGCCAGGAGCCCAGCCCTCGGAGTCCCCACTCACCGGCCCCAGAAGGGAAAGGGGAGGGAACAGGCCTCCAGGTGGTGGCACCAAGCACAAGAGGCAGGGACTGCCAAGCTTGGCATGGCGAGTCCAACCTCTGCTGTGCAGTGGGCCACAGCTCTGGGGCAGGGGCTGGCCCTGCACCTCCACCCGCAGGATGAGGGGCAGGCCTCCCTCTGCATACACTCTCACTGTGATTTGGGAGGGGCAGGCAGGGGCAGGTGCCTCCTCTCTGTCTGCCCTCTGGCATTAACCTCAAGGTCTGAGGCTCTAGGGCTGCCTGCCTGGGGTCACCTTGGTGCCTGGCACATAATCAAGGCCAGTGCCAAGCTGAGCCTGGGACAGACTCCAGCTGTGGGAAGGTGGAGGCTGGACTCTAACCTCAGTCCCTAGTAAGAGCTGAGGCACAGGTCACACTCCACCCCTATGTCTGGGCCTCAAAGCCCCTGGGAGTGCACATTCTGCCTATCTCTGACCTATCACCTTCTCTGATTTGGGGGTGGGGGTGCTGTTGGGAAGGATGCCCCTCACTTTGCTGTATGGAAGCTCATCTCCTTGGGGAGCTGCATCCCCGAATCATTCTAAAGCCCCGGAGCTCTGTGAGGACTGGACACGTGCTGTCCTGGGTCCAAGGCTGGCTCTGCACACAGCAGTCACTGGTGTTGCCTGGGTCTCAGCTTTCCCAGCTGTAAATCGGGAAGACGCTCTCTGGGGGTCCCTTCCTGCCACAGTAACAACAACCATGCCCACAGGTATGGCCTTCAAAGTTCCTGAAGCCCTTTTATAAGCCTGTGACCTTACCTGGTCTGGCCAGACTGTCCCCACCCTTAAGGGCTGAGGAAAAAGAGGCTCAGGGGTTCTGAGATGCACCCAGTCCACAGCCAGTCAGCTGTGAAGCCAGGCTTCTAACACTGACCTCTGCCTGCGAGCTGTTCCCTGTGCCTCCCCTATCCCACTAGAGCTGAGGTGGACCCCAGGGGGCTTTGCAGGGCCCCAGGGGACTCCTACCTGAGAAAGATCCCTTTGAGGTTGGGTGTGGAGTCGAAGGCATTGGCAGGCACTGTGCTAATCTTGTTGTTCTGCAGGTACAGGTACTCGAGTGACTCTGGGAGCCCCTCGGGTATCTCTGTGAGCTGATTCCCCGCAATGTCCAGCAGCTGCAGGGGTGACCAGGGAGTCAAAGCACTTAGCAACTGCAAAGCTCCCACCAACCCTCAGCCTACCTAAATCTCACCATAACCCTGTGAGTTAGGGTCTGTAACTATCCCTAGGGGAAGCAGAGGCTCAGAGAAGTTAAGAGATCTGTCCAAGGAGTGTACAGGGCTGGACCTGGTGAGCCCGACTCCAAACCTTTACTCTGATGTCTGTCCTGCCCAGCTCCTTCTGCCTCCCCTATGAATTCACAGCCAAGGTGTCTGAGAGTTACAGCCCTTTCTCTTCAACACATCTGTCCTCCTCATCAGACTAAATACACCAGCAGGGCAGGGGCCAGGGACCCTCCAGTCTCTGAGTCTTGCCCCACTGGGTCCCAGATGAGGGTGGGGAGGATTGCAGGGGCCAAGAGCAAGGGTTCGAGGCCCACAGTGACCCCGGCATGGCAGCAAGTATCCAGACTATTCAGTCTTGGTCACTACATGCCTAGAGTCCCAGAAGCAGGCAGCCAGGAAATGGGGTGGTTTTCCCAGAGCAGAACCTGAAATAGTCAGGGAGCCTGGACATGCATGGGCCCAGCTCACTGCCTGTCCCTCAGGCTTTCAGTACACCCTCAACCCCAACACACACCTGTGCAGCCCCAGGTGGGATTCTGTCATCTCTAAGCTCCCTTCCCAACCTGACAGGCTGAGGCTCAGGGTCAGGATACTGGAGGCCAAGAATCCAGATTCAAGGGGAGCACAAGCTTCACACACTTTAGGGAGCCTCCCTGTCACCTTCCCTACCCAGCAGGGCTCCCTGCTCCCCACTGTGTTCCCTCTGCACAGCTCCCCCACTTCCTCATTCATTCCAACACCCTCAGTGCCCATGGGCAGTGGGGACATGGAATTCACTGAGACACTGCCCCACCCTCAGGAAGCCAGGCGACACTTGGGCTGAGTCCTAGGTATGTAAGCTCTCGGAGGACGGTACTGCTCCCTTTGTCTTATTCCCTGCTGCGTCTCCAGTCCTAGAGCTGTGTGCTGGCGGCGGCTCGGTACAGGCTACAGGCTCATGGAATGGATGAGTGAGGAGGTGACATTAGGGAGGAAAAGATGCTTCCAGCAGAAGAGCTGGTATAAGCAATGCCCAGTGTGTCTGGGGAACTAAGAAGAGCAGTTGGGAGCAGGGGAAGACCAAGGCTTGAAGGCTGTGCAAGGATTCTGGTCTGGGTTCTAAGGGCAACAGGTGCCACAGAGGGGTTCTGGACAGGAGTGTTATGGTGAGCATGTATTTTTTTAGACACCCTCTGCATATGGAATACAGGAGTAGGGAGCTCCTAGGACACCAGGGTCCAGGCAAGAAACGGTGGTGGTTTGACTTGGGGTATATACAGCAGGGCTGGAGAGAGGCAGAGAGAGATGTGATGGTAGAATTGGCTGGGCTTAGTCACAGCAGGCACTGGGGGGCAGATGGCAGGAAAAGGGGACGTCAAGAGCAGCTCCCAGGTTTCCGGTGGGTGCCTAGGTGGATGCAAGTTAGAAAAAGCAGAGAGAGCAGGTGTGGAGGAGAGGACAGTGGGGTTTGCGCCCCTGGGGAACAGGTTCCTAAGCAATACCCCAGAGGGACTGGCTCAGGTGGTCAGACTGGTGTCTGGGAGATGAGAGACAATGGCTGCTCCTGCAGGCCCGCTGCCTTCTCCAGCTCCCACCCAGCTCTGTCCTCAGGGCTCGGCCCCACCTCCCTGCCCGCACTCTCCAGGACTCTTTCCTGCACTCAGACATCCCACCCTGACAGCTCCCGCGCCCCACCAGGCCCCTGCCAAGAATGTCCTGTGAGCCTACCACGCTGAGGCCCTGGGCCAGCAGTGAGCACAACAGACTAAAATGCCTGCCCCTTATCCTAGTGGGGAGGGCAGGCAGCAAACAAGCAGACAGATGACCTAATGCCCGGAAGGGAGAAGGGTTAGGAAGAAAACAAGACAGAAAAAAGTGGCAGGCAGCTCGGGAAGGCCTCCCCAGGAAGTGACACTTGAGAAGAACCCTGAGAAAGGAGGAGCAGCCCAGAGCACGGGGAGAGGGTCCTGGCAGAGCAGTGGAGGGGCAGTTCCTGACCTCACAGCCCCTCAGCCCTGCCTTCCAAGTTTCTCTAAAGAGGTTTCCCTTTTGCCTGGTTGGGTAGGGAAACTGCATTTGTAACGGAAGAGATTTGATTCATACGGCAGACACTGCCACTCCCCCCACATGACTCTGAGAGCAGCCCCAGAAGTCACAACCACTCGCCAGCCCCAGAAGCCCTCAAGTAGGGCACCCAGCTCTCTGCCGACGGGTGAGATCAGCCACCTGGCTAGCCTTGCTGCCCTCTCCTGCCCCAAGCCCAGCCAAGCCTAGCCTTCTCCAGGCACCTATTCCCATACCTGCAGGTGAGTGAGCCTGACTCTCTGGGAGGAATTGCCCTGTGCCTCCAGTCCTCCTAACCTGCAGCCATACCCTCCCCTTATCTCCATAGCCCTCCTTGAGCCTGTACCTGCATGTAGGGAGCTCAGCCTGGCCATACCAGCTGTACTCTGCCTTTCACTGCTATGCGGAGACTCTCTGCAAGGCCCAGGCCCACCAACTCTAAGGCCCTGCTTCCCCAGCAGGTACCTCAGGGCAGCCTACCAGCAGCCCCCTGCCCCTCCTGGTTACCTGTAGACCCGCGAGGTCAACCCAGGCACGGGGGCCCAAGGCCCGGCTGCGCAGCCTGTTGCCAGTGAGGTAGAGCTCACGCAGTTGGGCCATACCGGCCAGCGCCCCACGTGCCAGGGCAACCAGCTCATTGCGCTTGACCTTCAGCACATGCACGTTGCGTGGCAGCCCGGGGGACAGTGTGCGCAGCCGGTTGCCTGACAAATCCAGCGAGCGCAGCAGGCGCAGCTTGCGGAAGGCATCCCGGTGCACCTCCGGGCTGGCAATGCGGTTGTAGCTGAGGTTGAGCTCCTCCAGGAAGTAGGTGGTAGCGAAGTCTTCGCGGCCGATGCCGGTGATCTGGTTGTGCAGGATCATGAGGGTGCGCACGCGGCGGGGCAGGCCGCTGGGCACGCGCTCCAGCGCGTTGTTGTACAGGTGTACCGTGTGCAGCCGCTTGAGACCCTGGAAGGCCCGCGGGTGGATGCCCCGGGCGTGCAGCTGGTTGCTGTGCAGCAGCAGGTACTCCAGGCTGCGGATGGGGGTCAGGACGTCCGCGTCCACACTCCGGATAGCATTCTTCTCCAGGTGCAGCAGAACCAGGCTGCGTGGGAGCCCCGCGGGCACCCGCGACAAGTTATTGCTGGACAGATCCAGGTACTCCAGGCTGGAGAGCTTCCTAGGGCCAGAAAGAATTGGGACAGTGGGCAGGAGCCCACATGGAGCTGGCTTCCACCATTATTCCCCAGGGAGATGGTGAGGAAACTGCCCCCACTTTATCCCAGCTCTGCCACCAGCTGACTGGGGCACCTCCATCCTCTCCGAACCTCTCACAGGTTGATTTAATGATATATTGGCATAGGAAGGATCTAGCATAGTTTCTGACACATAGGACGTTATTTGAAGAGTGATTGTTGAACTAAGGCCTCTTGTGGCTACCCTGGGCTCTAAACAATGAAAATGTATTTTTGTCTTTAACAAGAAAGCTTGAGTTTCTGTTTTGTACCAAGAAGCCAGCCTCTGCAAATGCTTCCCTGCCTCGCTGGAGTTTGGGCAGGCCTGACCTGTACATACCACTTGGTCTTGGGGACAGAAATGTCAGCAGAGGCACAAACCTCAAAGTTCATTCTCCCAGGAAACTTGACGGGGCCAGGTGGGTGAGAACACCTGGCTGGGTGGGCCCCGGGGGGAGCTTCCCAGGCAGGTGCTCACACCGAGGGCCCAGGCAGGGCCTCACCAGAAGGTCTCATTGTCCAGGCCCTCGTCTGTCAGGTAGTTGTTCTGCAGGTACAGCTCACGCAGGTTGCTCAGCTCACTGAAGGCACCTGGCGGGATCTTCTCCAGCTTGTTGTTCTGGTGAGTGGGGTGGTAGGGGAGGGAATATGAGGGACAGTCAAGCGGAAGGGCAGAGCCCTGGGATGAGGTGTGGGAGGGGTCTGGGGAGCCAGGGAGAGGGGCCCCGAGCCCAGAGCACCCTGGGTGATGTGCTGACAGCAGTGGACGCTGTGCCTTCCAGCAGGCACCCAAGGCCCCACATCCTCAGCAATGTGCCCTCGTGGGCCTGGGATCTCCCCCAGTGTGGTCCCTGCCCCTCCCTGCCCTCTGCCCCTAACCTTGAGGTGCAGCTTGTAGAGGGCAGGTGGCAGGTGCTTGGGCACATGGCGCAGGAAGTTGCTAGACAGAATGAGGATCTCGACGTTGCTAGAGCCATTGAACATGTTGTCTGGCAGCCCGGCATCAGCCAGCTTGTTGTTGTGCAGGTATACAGACCTGGAAATGAGGCTCAGGTCCTCACCCACCCAGACCCCCAACTCTGGCCCCAGCACCAGCCCACCTGGCCTCCAAACCTTGCTTAGGCTGGACCTGGTGCCAAGGGCACCCTCCTCCCACTTGAACTAACCCACCTGGTTAGTTCCCCCACAGCCCAGGAGACCAAGGACCCACCAGAGGTTACCCGGCAGGTTAGTAGCAGAAATAGGATTTCCTGACCCCCAGTCAGTGCTCCTCCATACCCTTCAAGGTTCTCAGTCATTCTCCAACTGGAATCCCTGCCTGTCAAACCCACAAAGCTGGCTTTGAGTTCTGTGGGGCTTCCTGAAAATGGGAACTTGTCCACCACTTCTTTGTCCCTGGTGCCCAGCAGAGGGCCTGGCTCAGAGGATGTAACCCCTCATTCATTCAGCAAGTATACAGTGAGTGCCCCTACGTGCCAGGACTATTCTAAGACACTGAAGATATAAATAAAAGTGGACACAACCAACAAGACCCTGCCCTCATGGAGCTGATATACTAGAGGGAGCAAAGACAAGGAACAAGAGAGATATGCAGAAGACAGTTCGTTCTTGCTGTGTGAGGCTCATGGGCCTCAGTCTTCCCATCTGTGGGATGAGACCACACACAGCAACACTGGTTCCTTGGGGGATGGAAAGAATCAGGTTAGGTGATAAATTCAGGGGCAGAAGCAGAAGCAGGGGTTGTCAGTGTCCCCAGCACCACCCTCCTCTGCTCATACACCCGTGCTGTGGCCTCACTGATCCCGAAGCAGCTCACAGTGAGGTACGGCTCTGCCTGTTGGAAGAAGTTTCCTTCCCCTGCAGCCCCTGGGCAGCCTCACCACAGCCCTGAGCAAGGGGCATCATGCCTGCACCGCACAGCACACACCCCTCCTCCAGGGCCTGTCTGGGTCCTCTCTGCCTGGCTCAGGGCTGGTGGCCTCAGCAACTCACCCCTCCCAAGCCTGAGCCCAGAGCTCTGTCTATTTTCTGACCTCAAGTTTGGCTTTTGGCCAAAGGTAAGCCCGTAGATCTTGGTGAGATAGTTGGCAGCAAAGTCCACACTGATCAGGGTGTTTGGCAGGAATCGGGGTGCCAAGGTCAGCTAGAAAGGGAAGAGCTGGGTCAGAAAAACCAATAGAGGGACAGCAGCCAGCTCTGGACCCCACTGTGTGCTGCTCAGCTGGGCCCCTTTAATTTGTTTCCCCCCAGTCCCACTATCCTGATAACACAGAAACTGAACCTCTGCAGCTCCCCACCACCCTGAGCTTGACACTCAAAGCCCTCCGGGCCTCCTGCCTGCTTTTCCTCCTGGTCTCTCCCCTAAACGCAGGAAGTTGCTAGACAGAATGAGGATCTCGACGTTGCTAGAGCCATTGAACATGTTGTCTGGCAGCCCGGCATCAGCCAGCTTGTTGTTGTGCAGGTATACAGACCTGGAAATGAGGCTCAGGTCCTCACCCACCCAGACCCCCAACTCTGGCCCCAGCACCAGCCCACCTGGCCTCCAAACCTTGCTTAGGCTGGACCTGGTGCCAAGGGCACCCTCCTCCCACTTGAACTAACCCACCTGGTTAGTTCCCCCACAGCCCAGGAGACCAAGGACCCACCAGAGGTTACCCGGCAGGTTAGTAGCAGAAATAGGATTTCCTGACCCCCAGTCAGTGCTCCTCCATACCCTTCAAGGTTCTCAGTCATTCTCCAACTGGAATCCCTGCCTGTCAAACCCACAAAGCTGGCTTTGAGTTCTGTGGGGCTTCCTGAAAATGGGAACTTGTCCACCACTTCTTTGTCCCTGGTGCCCAGCAGAGGGCCTGGCTCAGAGGATGTAACCCCTCATTCATTCAGCAAGTATACAGTGAGTGCCCCTACGTGCCAGGACTATTCTAAGACACTGAAGATATAAATAAAAGTGGACACAACCAACAAGACCCTGCCCTCATGGAGCTGATATACTAGAGGGAGCAAAGACAAGGAACAAGAGAGATATGCAGAAGACAGTTCGTTCTTGCTGTGTGAGGCTCATGGGCCTCAGTCTTCCCATCTGTGGGATGAGACCACACACAGCAACACTGGTTCCTTGGGGGATGGAAAGAATCAGGTTAGGTGATAAATTCAGGGGCAGAAGCAGAAGCAGGGGTTGTCAGTGTCCCCAGCACCACCCTCCTCTGCTCATACACCCGTGCTGTGGCCTCACTGATCCCGAAGCAGCTCACAGTGAGGTACGGCTCTGCCTGTTGGAAGAAGTTTCCTTCCCCTGCAGCCCCTGGGCAGCCTCACCACAGCCCTGAGCAAGGGGCATCATGCCTGCACCGCACAGCACACACCCCTCCTCCAGGGCCTGTCTGGGTCCTCTCTGCCTGGCTCAGGGCTGGTGGCCTCAGCAACTCACCCCTCCCAAGCCTGAGCCCAGAGCTCTGTCTATTTTCTGACCTCAAGTTTGGCTTTTGGCCAAAGGTAAGCCCGTAGATCTTGGTGAGATAGTTGGCAGCAAAGTCCACACTGATCAGGGTGTTTGGCAGGAATCGGGGTGCCAAGGTCAGCTAGAAAGGGAAGAGCTGGGTCAGAAAAACCAATAGAGGGACAGCAGCCAGCTCTGGACCCCACTGTGTGCTGCTCAGCTGGGCCCCTTTAATTTGTTTCCCCCCAGTCCCACTATCCTGATAACACAGAAACTGAACCTCTGCAGCTCCCCACCACCCTGAGCTTGACACTCAAAGCCCTCCGGGCCTCCTGCCTGCTTTTCCTCCTGGTCTCTCCCCTAACTGCTCCCTGACACTGGCCCCAGTCCATCCACAGTGGAAACCCACAGGGCTCACCCTGTCCACCCTCCCTTCAGTCAGCAGCAGTCCCTGAGTCTACAACATTCCAGGCGCAGCCCCAGGTACTGGACACATACTGGGAACAAGACAGAGAAAAACCTGCTCCCCACCCTCAAGCTTAAATCTTAGTGGAGAAGACAATAAACTAGGCATAGGAGTATCTGATGGTGACAACCACTAGGGAGTGAAAACGGGCTGCAGACAGAGGACACCTGGGGTGGGTGCTCAGGGAACAGGTGACCACACTGAAGGCGTGATGGCACCACAGACGCCCTCCGAGGGGAGAGCAGGAGCAGGGAGTGCCGACCCTGGTGAAGTCGGCTGGGGTTGGAGCAGGCGCAGAGTGAGAGTGAGTTAAGAGAGGCAGGCAGCCCGACTGCTGGCCTCAGAGAGAAGTGTAGGTTTCATTCTGGGCAGAAGGTGAAGCCTCAGGAGGGTTTTAAGCAAGCAGAGAGGATGCAGGGGTAGAAGCAGGGATGGTTTTTAAAGGTTACTCTGGCTGCTGTGGGGAGCCAGGGCGCAGACAAGGAAGCAGGGGTGGGACAGTGGACCAGTGCAATGCAGGTGGGTGAGCAAAGCACTCCTGGATTTGGGGCTCAGACCAGTGGGGCTTGGAGGTGCCCTTTACAGGAAGAGGTGGGGAGGCTGCAGGAGGATCGGAGTCTGGGGGCTGTGGGCGGGAAGCAGAGTTCTACTTTCCGTAGACCTCTAGGGGAAATGCCAGGAGGGAGGTGGACCTGAGTCTCAAGTGGGAGAAGTGGACAGTACTGAAGACTGCCACTCCATGTGACCCCAAAGGAGCTGAGAGAGAAGGAGCTGGACAGAGCCCTGGGCACACCAACTATTGTGAGGTTGAGGGCCTTTGTGCCTTTTCTCATGCTGCCCTTTCTTCAGGGCATCCCCTTCCAGGCCCCTGGATGAAATCCTATTACATTTCATGGCCCTGATCAAATTGCATTTCCTCCAGGAAGCCCTCCAAGTGCCCCTCTCCACAGTGGGACAAGGTCTCACGTACCCTACACCCTATAGGCCTTGGTCTCTGTCTTCACTATTACTCTGGTGCTGTGGGTTAAGGTATAGGCTCTGGGCCCATCACCCCAGGGCCATATCTCAGCAGCAGCAGCAGGGACCCAGAAGCCAACCCAAAGAGGCCCTGAGCTTGGCCCCCAACACCAGGGGGCCAGGGCAGTACATCCCCACCCTGTTGCAGGCCCCTCACCTTGTTATTGGCCAGGTACAGGTAATTGAGGTTGGTCAGATGCTCAAATGCCTCCTCCGGGAGCCCTTCAAAGGACAGGCATCAGTCAGAGCCCTGGATGAAGGAGACGCTACAGGGGAGCATGCCAGCACTGAGCCCCACTGAGGCCTACCCCACTGGCCAGGGCTGGGGAGGGCACACCCAGAGGCAGGCAGAGCTCTGATCCTTCCCAACCAGTGCCAACAGGCCTGCCCAGCCCATTCTCATGCCCCTTGCTCACAGAGGCCCAAGTTCAGGGGAGCAAGTGTGAAGCACCTGTGGGAAGATGGCTTATCCTACACCTTGCTCAAGGCCACCTGGGTAGAAATGGGTCCTCATAAGGTCTAGCCATGGGGCAGAGGACCCAGCCAAATCCTTCCCTACCAGGAAGGAGTGCTCCCCTGGGGGCAGCCCCAGGGAGTCAGATACCTTCTTCAAAGCCAGCGCCACACAGGGCAGGGCTCCACTGAGCCTCCCTGCCCCTGCCCCTGCCCCCTTCTTGCTGATGCACTGTCAGGACTATACTGTCACTGGGAGCCCGGCCAGGTTGGCCCTTCTCCAGTCCTGAGGCCGGCCTCTGACACTTGGTTCTGAGCTCCCAGCTCCTCAGATGCTGGGACTCTCCCAAGAATCTAACGAGAGGGAACAGTTACATAAACTGTGCGGCATTCCTCCACGGAATACCCTCCTGCCGCTGTGTAAAATGATGGCCACTGAGTTCTTAGCAAAATGAGAAATGCTGCTGTGCTAATTGCAAAGGGAAACAGAACAGTTACAATCGTGACATCTACAAGTTCAGCTATGAATTAAAGTACACAAAGAAAATACTGGTTTGGATTGTGGTGATGGTTGTGTAATTGCATAAATTTCCTAAAACTCATCAAATTATATTTTTCAATTGGGTAAATCTTATGGTATAGAAATTATATCTCAACAGAGTTGCTTTTTTAAAAATGGGAAGGACTCTACCAAAATATCAATAGGGATTAACTCCAAGTGGCAGAATTGTGAGTTGGCTTTTTCTTTTCCATTTTATTTTCTGTAATAATTATAAATTATGGTCATCATAAGAAAAAATAACTTTTTACAATGTGAGGACTCTACAATGCTTTGATTCTAAAGGCCGTCTGTGAACTGAAGAGTCTTTGACAAAGACCCTGGAACTTTATGATTCTCTCAAGTTTCTCTCCTGACCCAACTCCCAGGTCTCAGAAACACTGAGGAGTGGCTTTTAGGCGATTTCCCTATGGAGCCCCTTGCCCAGCAGCCCAGCTCAGGCCTGCTCTTTCCCACATCCCAGGGTCAGCAGGACACAGGTCTCCCCATGGGTGCCTGGTCCCCCACCTGGTGCCCCCATACCAGTCTCTGGGTGATCCCTCACCTCGAGAGGTCAGGCGATTGTTCTGGAGGTTCAGAGTCTCCAGCCGGTGCAGCCGGGAGAGCTCCTCAGGGTAGATCTTCTCCAGCTGGTTGTTCTGGGGAGAGGGCAAGGGCTGGTGAAAAGGTAGCTTGGGGGCTGTCTAGGGCTCCTACCCCATGAAAGGCCACCCCTCCCTCAGCCTCAGCCCCAGTCCCAGGAGCCTGTCTCTGTGTTGGGCACCTCCTGTGGGATTCTCCCACATGCAGATGGACCCTGCTCCAGGCCAGCCTGGACCTGGGTTTTGGAGGCACAGCAGTGACCACAGAGTGTGGGTCCTGCCTTCCAGGAGCCCATACACAGGTGTGCATGGGCAGCTCAAACTTGGAGTGCCGTTTCCCCTCCAGACCTGCTCCCTGTGTGTTCCCACTTGGTGACAGGCATCCACAGCTGGTTCTCCCCACCTCCAAGCCAGAAACCACTTTCAGTTCCCTTCTCAGCCCTGCAGTCCCTACTCCACTTAGAACACTTTAGAGCCTGGGTTAGGTACCACTTTCTCCAGAAGCCTTCCTGGGTTGGATCAGGGGCTGGATTAGGTGCTTCTCTGTGCTCCACAGTACTATCTTCCCACCTCCATCTGTTACCTGTACTTACTTAGGTCTCTGCCTCCCACACAACTAGTACCTCAAGGGCAGCTCCTGACACGGGACCAGGGGTGTAGAGTAGGTACCCAAGAGATATTTTATGAATGAATGAGTGAATGAATCAACAATTAGTACTGTCCTCAACTTGTCCCTCTCCCTCATAGGCTCCCACCACTGCCAACCTGGACCCATCAGTGCTCTGTGACCCTGGGCAGCTCACTTTCCTTCGCTGGGCTTGATCTCCTTTGGAAATGGGTGTAACAGCCTCTCCCTCTCCCCCAGGGCTACTGGGCTACACAGGGTGGTCATGGGTACACTAGTGTTCCCAGAGTCCCCCATCTGGAATGCCATGTCCCTCTTCTTGAAGCTCCAAAATCTGGCCTGCACCCCAGGAGAGTACTCTGTCTTCGGAGCCCCCAGAGCATTTGATGGGAGCCTGCTTTGCCCTCGATTTCTTGGCCTGTTATGGTGTCTGAGCTGCCCTGTCTATTCAGAAGGTCAATTGCTGGGCAGGTCTGTGTCCATCTTCAGACAGAGCCTGATTCTACTTACGGGCCTCAGCCCAGACTCACCCAAGTGAAACAGAACAATTATAACATCGGGGTGCTCTATGGCCAGCCATCAGAGGGGATGCCCCATGGCGGGGCCAGACTCCTACATCCAACCTGCCCTCGCACCCTGTCTGGGGGTGGAGAGCCATGAGTACTGGGGCTTGGGGCAAGGAGGGAGCTGTGGTCTGGGAGTTCTGGGACCAGCAAAGGGAGCCTGAGTGGAGTGGGCAGCCCTGGTGACACTGAAGTGCCGGCCTCACCTGCAGGGACAGGTGGTTGGTGTGCTCAGGCAGGTCCCCAGGGAACTCACGCAGGTCGATGCCGCCACAGTCCACCACGCCCTCCTGGGAGCAGGCACAGTTCCGGGGGCAGTTGATGGTGGCTGAGCCAGGCCCCGGCTCCTCGGGACTCAGGACCAGCACCGGCTCCTCCTCCACAAATTCATTCTCTTCGGGGCTCAGGCTATGCGCACCACTTCGGCCAAACCCTGGGGCCCTCACGGCGAGCACCGCTGCCAGCTGCAGCTGCGGCGGCAATAGCAGCAAGACGAGCAGAGCCCGGCTTCGGGCCATGGTGCCTGCAGGGGGCGCCAGTCAGAGCCACCTCCGCACCAGGGCTCAGGGCCCACGGAAGTCACAGTGGGGCCCCCTAAGGCACAAGGCAGAGCCTACTCTGCACCTGTCCTGGGCATGCATCTGGCTGCTGCTCTCCCTTCCCCACTCGCCCCATCAGAGCTGCCCTCTACATGGGTGGGGGTGAGGTGAAGCCCTCTCCTTAGGCAAGTCTGCAAAACCTTCCACAATCCTCACCAGGCCTGGCCCAAAGAATCCATACCCCCACTTCAGAGAAGGGAAAGCTGAGCCCCAGGAAGAACTGAGACTTGCAGGGCTCAGCCAGGACCTTGCTGAGGTCTTGCTGCCCTGGCACAGGCAGTGCTGGGAGCCCTGTCCCTCCTCCAGCAGCCACAGGCCACAGCAGGTCAGCACCAGCAGGGTATGGCCCAGCTCCTCACCTGCCACTCCAGGATTGTCAGGACTTGGCCCTGCTTCTCTTCCAGCTCCCCCTGCCCACGAGCCCCAGTGATGCAGGCCTACTTGGTAGTTCCTCTCTCCAGGCCTTGGCACATGCTGTTCCTTTTCTAGTGGAGAGAGGAATGCCCTCCCCTCTCTAGTGCAATCAGCATCCTCTTCGAGAAGCAACTCCAGCATTGTGTCCCCTGGGAAGATTCTGAGCTGCCCCAGAGCTCCCTGTTCACTTCAGGGTTTGACATGGGTTGGGCTGGGTTATGACTACATGGTGTCTTTCCCCCACACAGGGCTGTGAGCCACTCTCTGTGTCTGGGTGGAGGCCCAGCCCAGAGCTGGACACAGACGAGGCATCAGTAAATGGAGCTGCTGCTGCCCCCAGGACCTCCCCTTCCTGGTGTTTACACCCTCAGCTGCCCTCACCAGGCCCTGCTGTGCTTACATGACTGCTGGCACTTGCAGGAGACCAGTCCCCAGCACGGTCCCCCTAGGGTGTAGGGATGGGGGTGTAGGGGCTGACTTCAGACCTTGAGGAAGATGCAGGGGTTCCACCATCCCAGCAGCCTATGGGCCTAACATGGCTCCAGTCTGGTCCCTGGAGTTCTCTTTACAGGGACTCAGAAAACATCTCTGGGGTGTGGTGCACTGGGACAGACAGTAGCTCAGGTACCCTGACTCTGGAGTCTCGCAGCCCCCAGCCTGAGCCCCCCTCCACCACTCAGCGACTCTGACCTTGATGGGCCTCAGTCTGCTCATCGGACAATGCAGACAATGTATCTATGGGAAGGAGGCAGCGAGATAACAGACACAAGGCACCTGCACCCATCATTGCTGCAGCGGTTACACGAGCAGGCACGTGGCATTGCGCAGGGCTTGGGGACCCACTCCTCAGTCCGAGCTCTCTCCCCACTAGATCTGGGACCCCAACCCACAGAGCAGAGAAGCGTCTAAGGAGATGTTGAGCCTGGGAGGGTTGGGGAAACTAGGAGTTTAACAATGAGACTGATGTCTTTAAGGAGAGCTTTGGGGCCAGACAGCCGGGGCTGTGGGCTCAGCTCTGGCTCTCCATTGTGCAACGTTAGGCAAGTTTTGTCACCCTGTAAACCTCTGCTTCCTCACCTGTCCATGGGGTGTAACCAAGCCATCCTTATGGAGAGACTATGAAAGTCACTGGGATGCACATAATGCACACAGTAAGTGTTCAGTAAATGTTAGCCCTTCCTAATGTCTGCTACATGAGTGCCTACTCCAGAATTCCCTGCTTCTTGCCCTCCCCTTGTCTAGATTCTGCTTGCACTCTTTGGTCCAGTCCCAGCCCGCCTTGTCCCAGCAGAATGGTAGACTCTAGTCTCCTGTGAATTCCTGCTGCCCTGTGGTTGCTGCAGTATTTCACAAACTGCTTGGACTCACTCATTTGCTCAGCCAGCTGTCCAAGGTGAGGCCCCGTCTGCCCCCTTGCCATTTGTTGCACAGGTGACACAGGTGAGGAAGAAAAGGACCCTGGCCTCAGCCTGGTGGGGGCTGCAGACCCCCGTACAATAACTTCTGTCCCCCAAGACTGAGTGAACCCTGTGAGGCCCCAGAAGAAAAGGTATACGGAGAGAAAAGAGGGGCAGCAGCCAGGCTTGTTGGAACCTATAGGTGTACAAGGCCTAAGCAGACTCAGGCTTCTGCCACTTGCCTGGCAGAGAACCAGGGAGCCCAGCATACATGCAGCTCCCAAACTCCAGGGATCAGTTGGCAGCAGCAAGTGATGCATGCTGAAGCCTGGCCCTAGGCCCACCCTACTAATCCCCACTGCCTTCCCCTGTCCCTTGACCAAATGGGCAGCAAATGCTCAGCCAGTCTATAGACCATCCATCCCATGTACATTATCACCCCCCAGATAACTCAACAGCCTTCAGCCACCAGAACCACCATCATCATACCAGAATCCCCCTCTCTGCCCGTCTGACTCCACTGCAGACCAGGCTCTGGGAGGGGATATTTGGGCACAGGCCCAGGCCCCAAATTAATCAGGGGCAGGAGGCCAGGAGAAGGATTTTCTCCACATATCCTGTGTACTCAGTGGACTAGATATTTATCCTCCCTCACCTTCAGTTTTATATCTGTTAAGATTTATAAACTGTATCTGTAAAAATACATAATTTACATTAACACTACGAACCATACTGAAAATGTTATCTCTACTTTATAGATGACGGAGCTAAGGCCCTATGGGATGGGCCAATGTAACACAGCTGCTAAGTGGCAAAATCAAGCTCACAGCTCAGGTCTTAACCACAATGCTATGGGGCCCTTCCCTGGGCCAGGCACAGCTGGGCACTGAGGACGCAGACAGACCACTCAGGCATGACTCTTGCCCTAAAGCAGCTTATGCCTACACTGTCCAATGTGAGGGCCACATGCAGCTATTGAGCACTTGAAACATGGCTACTCTTAATTGAGAGGCAATGTAAGTATAAAATACAACATACATGGGACTCAAAGACTTAGTATAAAAAAGAATGTAAAATATCTCATTAATATTCATGATATAAAATCTCATTTATTTTTATATTTATTACATGATATTTAGGATATACTGAGTCAAATCAATGTTCAAATTTTCATTTTACTTTTTTTTTAACATGGCTCCTAGAAAATTTTACATTACATACATTGTTTGCATTTGTGGATTACATAATGTTTCTATTGGACTGTGCTGGCCTATGTGTAAATGGAGTATTATAATCCCAGGGTCATCAGCAGTGCGATGGAGGGAAGCTAAGGACCAGAGGACCAGGACGGCTTCCCAGAAGTGATGCCTTATGTAGCCACGAAGAATGAGTATCAGGCAAAAGGGAAAAGGTGATCAAGCAAGGGGGTCAGCATGAGCAAAGGCCCAGGTGCAAAAGAATCCATGCTGTGACCTCTGCAAAGCTCACTATAGTGTCTGGTAGAGCTTGAGGACTAGGAGTGATGCAAGTGGTCAGTGGCCGCAAGTCCAGGCCAAGAAGGGACTTGAAAGGAGGTTAGGAAGAGTGACCCTTAGCTTACGGGAGATGGGGAGCAGTTGAAGAGGAGTGTGACTTGGCAGGTTTATAAGGAACTCTCAGAAGCTGTGCAATGGTACAGGCAAAGGACAATAACCTGGGACTGGGCAGAGAGGGAGGTGCTGGGCTGCAGGGATGGAGAGGATGAGCTGGACTCAGGGGAGAGGGAGGAAGACAAACAGGGCTTAGAGAGTGGTGGCCTTGGTGCCACCTCCTCCTCAGGCCTTAGGTTCCTGGGCAGTTCCAGCTCCACCACCTAGTCCACCATGTGATCTCGGCCCATCACTGACCCATCCAAGTCTCAGTTTTTTTTTGTTCTAAGAATGCTGAGCAAGATAAGCCCCCATGGCCCCTTCTGTAAGCCCAGCTATCTTAGAACTGGGTGTGAAAGAACAGAGAGAGCAGACCCCTGATCTCTGGAAGTCCCAGAGTGAGGAGCCCTGCTAGTGAGAACTACTCACACTGTTGGGACAGCAAATGGCAGGTGAGGGTACAGCTTGGTTTGCAGTCTGCCTGTGTGGAGAGCTTTAGGGACAGCAGTACATGGCTTCCAGTCCTGAGGGTTGTGTGAGTCTGGACCAGTCACTCCACTGCTCTGAGCCCCTGTTCACTAGTCTCAGCAAAGGAGGTGGGGGTTCCTCATGTGGATTCAGTGATATGCCCAGCTAATGCCAGCACCAAGCAGGTGCAACATGCAACTTTCCTGAGAAACCTGAGAAAACACCTGGGACCCACTACCTCTGCCCCCTTATTCCCTCGGGGGAACCAAACCTCAACGCCTATAAGGACTTTAGTGGGGATTAAAGGCAGGGCAAGAAGGAAGGGGAAGGGAAACCACCATATTTAAGGACTGTTAAACAGATGAGGTTGGAGTGGGAGGTCCAAGTGTCCAAGAGCATTAGCCACTATGCTAAGGTGCTGGTGATAGGGAGCCATCAAGACTTCCAGGCAGGTCATGGTCAGAGCTTTGTATGACTGTGCAGCCTAAAACTGCTACCATTAGTATCCCCTACCTAAGTTTCAGTGAAAAGGCACAACATATGCTCAGTAAGATTCAAATCAAAGGGATAAGATCTCGTGAAAAGTCATGTGAATCAGACATTTCTTAACTTGCACTCTAAGCTGCAGCAGACTGGGCCCTGGGCCCTAAAAGGGGACATGACCAGCCAGAGGCTTTTCGGTTCACACTAGTGGCTCTTGGAACTGAGTGGATCACCACTTCACCTCCCCGGCTGCCCTGAAGTCCAAACGCAGCCGCTCTTGTTGCGTGGGCCTCGGCAGGCATCCCTCTAAGCCCCCAGGACCTAGGACAGTCCTTGGTGCGAGAACCCTTGTGGAGCGCCTGCTCCTCCCCTAAGTTCCGGCCGCAGTTGCCTCCCACCCACAGCCCATGCGGCTACCAAGAGGTCTCCGCCGCCAACACCTCCTCTTCCACCTGACGGTCCCTCAGGTATTCTGACCCCAGGATCCGCTCCCCAGTCCCAGGCCAGGCTGGCAGGCTTCCGCTGCACTAGAGGGAAGGAGCTGATCGGCCCCCCACCTCGCGCCCCTCCTCAGTCCAGCCGTCCCAGTGGGGAGGCAGCCTCGTGGACAGACACCAGGCCGGCAGTTGAGAGCTCTGGCTCCTCCAGCGCGAGGCGCTGGGCTGGGGAGCCGAAACACGAGCTCCCCTCACCTGTCTGGGCATCCCGGGAGCGTATCTCTGCCCCTTTCTGGGCCTCTGTCTGCCTGTAAAGAGGCCGGAGGGTGGTCTAGCTGGGTTGAGCGGACGTGAAAAGACTCTGCGACCCGGCTGAAAGCACAGGGGTCCACGCCCCTCCCCAGCTCCACCTGCCCCCCGCATTCCCTGTCGCCCGCCTGCGTCCTTCCAGTCCGCCTTCGGATTCCTTCCAGATGTGCGCGGCGGGAGGAGCCCGAGGACTGGGACCAGCCTCTGGCCCGAGAGGAGAAAAGGCCCCTGCCCGGGCCGCGGAGGGGTCGGACCCCCGCGGGAGGGCTCTCCGCCGTGCACCAAGTGCAGGGCTCCGGCGGAGGGCGCGAGATGCGGACCGCGCCCACCCCGCTCCGGGGCAGCTGCTGGGGCCGGCCGGACCAAGGGGGAGGTTGGAGTCCGCTGCCCCTGCTCGGCCCGACCTCCCGGCCCCGCGCGCCCCGTACCTGC